AAGGAAAAGAAATGAAAAATATATATAAACCATAGATTTGAAAAAAAGATATTTTGTCTCATTTTTATAATTAAATACAGATCTTCTATTACAAAGCAAGTATTTCATTCTAAGTCTGGTTATCCTCAGGATGAAGGAAAAGAAATAGGACAGGATCTTTTGATATTTTTTTTTATTTTTTTTTTGATATTTACTTCTTCTTAGAAAAGCACATGCTCCCTTCCCAAGGATGATTGATTTTAGTTTCATCATGCATCAAGGCTTGTCTCGTGCTTGCCAATATTCTTTACAGAATAGTTGTGCAAAAAAGCATTGCCTTTGCCCAGACTTCATCCACAGAACACTGACCCCATGCAGTTCCTGCATCAAGATACCAAATCCTGTTTCCAACTGGACCTCGACCATCACCCTTTCCAAGTAGTCTTCTTTGCCTCACATGGAGCCATTTTTATTGGGGATGGCATTAGATAAAGAAGGCTAAGACAAGTTCCTAAGCCACTGCTATGGTGGCATTGGCTTTCTGAAACAATTGGGCTTGGATTAAGTCACAAAGTTACAATGCCACAAGTTGCTATGTGCTCTTGGGATTTTAGGATGTACACATTGTGAGTGTCTATCTGCTCCCTGCTTCATTTTGAAGACTGGGACTAGCCTCAGGAAGTCACTTATGGAAGCCATTCTGCTATAAATGGATGTATTAATAACTTGCAGTGTGCACAGTGTACTACAGGTTATGGAGATAATGATTTCATCCCTTCATTCATTCACTCCTTCCATCATGTGACAGAGATTTCCTGGGTGATTACACCGGGCCAGGCAAGAATATGTCACTCCAGTAGTTCATCATCAAGTAAAAAGGTTGGATACAGAACTGATCGTTATAATTTATTGTAAGACATAAAAATAGATAGTACAATCACTACTGCCTACTGGAAAAATAGATGTTAATACTGAGTACTTATTATATACTGAATACTTTTAGGCCCCTTAAGATTTGGTATTTCATTTGGTCTTGACAGCGTAAGAACATTCAGTGTTCTTATGTTCGTTTTATTGATGAAGAAGTAGGCTGAGAATGGTAAGGTAATCTGATCAAAATCTTGCAGTTATCAGTAGGAGAGCCACAATACAAACCCGAATTGACCACCAGAGGCCCAAGATCTTTCCAAAACTGAATCTGATTTTTGTGGAGTTGCGTTTCTGAGCTTTTCTTCCAGTTTTCTTGTAGACTCCCTTGAGAAACAACTGTTGTCCACTAACATGACATTCTCTTTAAGCGTCTTGAAGCAAATACAGTTGGCAGGTTTTGTAAGGCCATGGGAGAAAAATGTGTATGCATCAGTATTGACAAGATCTGTGTACAGATGTAGGTGTGTCCCCAGCATTTCACATTCGCTAGTTAGAATGACTTCATGGATACAAAGACTAGCTCTGCATTAACAAATGTCTCCCTGTTCCCTCTTCCTGCCCTGGCTTTTGCTGTATTTTTTGTTTACTCATCTGGATTGCTGCACAACTTCCTAATTGGCTTCTTGCCTCTAATCTTTCCCCCTCTAATTTTGCTCTTGCATTGTAACTATAGAAGTCTTTCTGAAACATAGTTGAGTCTGTCACTTGTGATAGCTCTTCAGTTGTCATTAGAATAAAGTCTGAATTCTTTAGAATGATGTTTATTTATACCGCCAGTATTTACCGAGTGCTTACTATGCTTAAGGTACTGTTCTGAGTGAGAAAAGAGCAGTGAGTAAAACAGTCCCTTCTGCACCCTCCTACGTCCTGCCAAGACTTCTGTACCTTTCTCAAGCTTACATTCTAACAGGAGGATGATGTTAGAGAGACCAATAATACACAATAAATAAATAAATTTAATTTTATGGTGTATATACCAAAATTATATATATAATAAACATATACACAAATATATATATATATATTTATTAAATAAATAAACATATACACAAATATATAAACAATAAATAAATAAATTCAATGTTATGATAATATACCAAAATTATGGTATGAAGGTTGCAGTTTTAAATAGGGTGGTCAGGGCAGACCTCACTCATGTGACATTTGAACAAAGAATGAGGAAAGGAAGGAATTTAGCCATTCTGAAACCTAGGGGAAGAATATACCAGGTCAAGGGGAAAACCAATGTAAAGATTCTGAAGATGGTTGCTTGCTTGGGATATTATGAGAACAGCAAGAAGGTCATAATGGATGGGGCAGAGAGAACCAAAATGAGAGTTGCAGGGAACAAGTTCAGAGAGGTATTAGGGTCTACATTATTGGCCACAGTAATAGTTTTTACTCTGAGTGAAATGGAAACCATTGGAGAATAGTGAGCAGAGGAGGGATGTGAGATGACTTAGGTTTTCAAAGAATCATTTTTACTGCTGCCTACTGTATTGTTGTAGGGTTACTGTGTTGTTAACTATGGGTTGAAAGTATGGGGAGGGAAGCATAGAAGCCAGAAAGAGGTTATTGCAGTAAGTCAGCTAAGTGAAGAGGATAATGGAATGGAGCTGGTAAATAAAGCTTAGATTTTGGATATATTTTGAAGGTACAGCCACCTTCAAACCTTGACCTTGACCTTCACACCCTGATGGATTAGGTGTGAAGTGTGCAGAAGAAAGAGGCCAAGGGTTAAGGACTGTAGCAGTGCTATCAATGAGTGAAGGTGGATTTGATGTTACGGAGTCAGAGGGAGGAAGGAGTCAAGAATTACTGCATTTTCTGACTGTAGTAACTGAATACATTCCCAAAGTTGCTTCTGCATTATCTTTCTATATCTTGGTAAAGAATACCATCATTTATATTTTTATTAAAGCCAAAAAATGAGGAAAAAAAATAGGATGAATCCTTGACTCTTCCTTTCCCCTTTCTCCTCACATCCATCCTCAGTAAGTCCTGAGGGTTCCACCTCCAAAATATGTCACCAGTCCATCTTTTCTTTCTCTCTTCTCTGAACTCCTAAAGCACTTCCCATAAAAACAAGTGTCAAATCAAGTAATGCCTTTAATTATCCATTACTGTTCCCAGTGAGTTTATCTTGATGCTCTCAATGGATTGCAAGCTCAGGGGATCCAGAGTGTGATGAAGATGTGCATCATCACAGTAATGCAAAGTTGAACCCAGAGAAAAGAAATGTTCAATAACTGCATGAATTTTTTTTTCATTGAAACGACCAGTGTCTTTGATATTATTCTGAAACATTTCCCCAAAAACTGTACCAATGGTATACAACCTATATCTGGAAGTTCAGTAGACAATATGACATAGTAGTTAAGAACAAGGTCTTAAAATATAGAGGCCTCAGTTTGAGACCTAGATTTGTCATTACTTTTCTGTGACCTTGGGCTCAGTTTCCTTATCTCCATAATGAAGAATAGTATCTTCTTCATAGGAGTGCTGTAAAGAATAAACACAATAGAATAATGTGCATATAAGGCTCAAGTTAGTGCTGATGTATGGCAAATGAGTCAGTATATTTCACGTGATACCATTTATGCTACTGTTGGCACTGTAGTAGTGTATTAGTCCATCTTCACACTGCTGATTAAGACATACCCAAGACTAAGTAATTTATAAAGAAAAAGAGGTTTAATGGACACAGTTCCACATGATTGAGGAGGCCTCATAATCATGGCAGAAGGTGAAAGTCTTACATGGCAGCAGGCAAGAGAAAATGAGAGCCAAGTCAAAGAGGAAATCCCTTATAAAACCATCAGACCTCATGAGACTTATTCACTACCACAAGAACAGTATAGGGGAAACTGCCTCCATGATTCAATTGTCTCCTACCAGGTCCGTTCCACAACATGTGAGAATAATGGGAGCTAAAATTCAAGATGAGATTTTGGTGGGGACACAGACAAACCTTATCAAGTAGACACACTTAACTTTCTAGAAATCCTGTTTAAAAGGATGCCATGGAGGTTCAAAACGGTTTAGTGACTTGCACAAAGTCACTCAGCTAGTGAAATTCTGAGCCAGAACCCACACCTAGCCTCTGTGGCTCCTGAACAAATTATCTTCTTTACAGCCCTAGCTCTCAGGAAACATGCTCAGAGGGCCTATCCCTGTGAAGCCAAAACAGCAAGTCTTTTCCTAGTTGGAATGAAACTAACTCTATCAGAATGGTTGTTTTTGCATCCTAGAAACTCAGGTAAACATTCAGAAAATACACAGATGAGGTTCAGGAATTCAAGCACAGTGCTGCTTGGGTGTGTTAGAGCAAGCAGAGTAACTGCATGAAGAAACATCTCTGTCCTGATACATATTTCATACTATTTTGTTTAGAGTCACCAAGTGGATTAAGGAATGAGATCCTAGACCTGGGATTTCAGATGAGAAGATGATTGTCTTCAGAGCTCAGACATTTCTGTCCTTGGAGAGCTGTATTTCCCATGTGACGATTTTTCAGTCAGAAGAGTTTCTCCTGACAGCTCTGGGCCATCTCACTTTTTGTTTTCCTTAACTAAGGGTTTCAAAAAATTTTTTTAAATGAGGGTTTTGTTAAAAACCCTCGACATAGTCTCTTTCATCCAGCTTCTCCATTAGTAAGACACAGTGAGTAATTTAAGGTTTGACATTGTCCAGGGATGACAGCCTGGATGATGTGATCCAGAAAAGGTTGGTGCTTTTAACACTCAGACCCCCCACCAGTTGACTTAAGTTACCCTTTCTTCCTTACTCCTCATTCTTGAGCCTGATGCTAACCTGCTTCTACCAGTTTAGCCTTGGGAATTTCATTTCCTTTTAATCTTCTCTCTAAACTTCCTTGTTTTATATATTTAAGAGGCTAGCACTAGCACTAGGTTAATCAAAGCTAAATTTATTTTAGCTGAGGCACACTTGCTACATTGTCATTTTAATGTTCTTAGATCCTGTGTGGACAAAGAGTTGAAAGAAACATACACTCATTTTAATGTAAATTTTTCTATCTTCTATGTAAATTAAAGAAGCTATAAAATTGACCCATCTCTCTTATTTTTCAGATAGACCACATGGTACAAGGCCATGCTGCTTTCCCAGAACTGCAAGCGAAGGCCACAGCCAGGTAACTGCTATCTCTGTTTACTCTAAAGCTTTCCTTCTGTGACTGTATTGAGAGCATTCACTTTGGGCTATTGGGTGATTTTCAGATCCTATGGACAATAAAGATGCCTGTTAGTGCTTAAAAGGTAGTCCTGTGGATGATCCAGAAGATATATGTATTAATTCTTTAAATGATGTAAAAGAACTTAGAGAACCTAGAGATTCCCCAAGAATATACCCAAGGCCTGTGGATAAGAAACTGATATAGAAGGAGGAGCATGGATTCTGGAATCAAAACTTCTTAGATTCACATCCCATCCTTACTCCTTAATAGATATAGGACCTTGAGCTAGTTACTTAACCTCTTTACACCTGTCTCTTCGTCTGTAAAACTGAAGATAATATCTGATACGGAGTGATTTCTAGAATATTTTGAAGAAAATCGAGTGCAAAAAGTATTTACAATGTAATTCCTTTCATGTAAAAAGAAAGAGGTAGGGAAATACATGTGTATCTATTCATTTTTGCAAAAGAAATACAGGAAGTTTAAACCAGAAACTAGTAAGATTGGTTACTTACAGGGTATGGTAGGAATGTGGTGGAAAGAATGTGGGAATGTGAACATGGTAGCAGGAAGAAATGACACTTCTCTGAGTATACATCTTTATATAACTATAACTCTTAGAATCATTGTGATGCTTCATGTCCTGATCGCTGGATAAATAGATGATAGATAGATAAATAGCCAGGATATATGTGTATGCTGGGGTGGGCAAAATGAAATACACACAGTAAAAACTGAACCTACTGTATTACAAAGGGGGTTGGGAAAAGAAAAGAACCTAAGTAAATCTGGGAAAGAATATTTTGACTGTATGCCATATTGCTAAAGAGAAAAATAGCCATCCATAAATATTATACTCTAATTGGTGAATTTGTTTTTCATAGGTGTCTGGGTTAGCTGTATTGACACCTCTTTAAGTGTATGCTACAACTGAGTGAAGAAATCAATATATTGTGGATAATGAGAGCCAGGTTCCTCACAAATGGGAAAAAGAGCAGGTTAGAATGAACCTTATGGTGTCAGTAGCAACTTATGATTATATATGTGTATAAACAGGTACACAGATGTATATAAATATAAGTAAATATAGATATATATATTCATGCATGAATAAACATGTATATGTTCCCTACCTCTCTGTGCTGAGATGGCCTGGAAGCAATGACACCTTAGTAGCAATGTGTATACCTAGCTCCCAGATACTGGATTCTAAATACCATTCTCCCATTTCTCCAGTAAAAGTAATCAGGACTTCTTAGAAAGTTGGCTAAGTCTAGGGTTGGGGCAGTAAAATTATGGTGCCAGAAAGAACTAAGTTACTCAACAAGGAATTGTCAAAGTACATTTGAACTAGCTTTAAGAATCTCTCAGTGGCCTACTCAGGATAAAATAACCAGTAATAGCATGAAATAAGTCTGTAAGTAAATAACTTCATAAGTAAATTACTGAAGAAGGAACTAAATGAGAAAGAAAGGACAGGCCTTCCTCTTCACTGTCAGAACAGTAGCTGTACAATTAATAAATGTAGAAGATCACGCCTGTAATCCCAGCACTTTGGGAGGCCGAGGCGGGCGGATCACAAGACCAAGAGATCGAGACCATCCTGGCCAACATGGTGAAACCTCGTCTCTACTAAAAATACAAAAATTAGCTGGGCGTGGTGGCATGTGCCAGTAGTCCCAGCTACTTGGAAGGCTGAGGCAGGAGAATTGCTTGAACCGGGGAGGCAGAGGTTGCAGTAAGCTGAGATGCGCCACTGCACTCCAGCCTGACGACAGAGCGAGACACCGTCTCAAAAATAAATAAATAAATGTAGAAGAAATAATGGAAATAGAAAATCATCATTAGGTAAACACTACAGAGATAAATGTTGCAGGCAAAAATCATCAATCGATGCTAAAATTACTGAGTAAAATTGGGAAGCAGGTTATTGTCATAATCCCAGAGGATTTCAGTGCAAGATTCTAATTAATATGAAGAGGAAAATAATAACTTCCAGTAGATAAATATGGCAGACAGCACCTTATCCAAGTGATGAAGGTTAGCAACACCAGCAATAACATGTAGTAAAATCATGTGTCTTCTTTTATGATGCATCAACGAGGACACAACATCATATCTGCCATGTTCTTGCCCAAACTGATTAAACTCAATGGAAATATGGGAAACATCAGACAAACCTAAATTGAGAGACATTCCACAAAGCTATTAGACAGTTTACTCCACAGGAAAATTAAGAAACTTAAATACTGAAGAACTGCTGTAGACTGGAGGAGACTTAGGGAAGTACTACAACTAGAAACAATATATAATAGTGGATTAGACTCTGGACCAGAAAAAAGACATTAGTGGAGGAGAACTGTTGAAATTCAAATAGAGATTAATAGTATTGTTGTTTATGTTAATTTACTAGGTGAAGAGTAAAAGGTAACTCTGTCTACTATTTTTGTAACTTTTGTGAAAATCTAAAATTATTTTGAAAGAAAAAGTTTAAAAAGTAATAAATTAATGAATTTCATGATAATAATGCTCCATTTTCAGGCTGTTTAAGTAAAGGAAGCTACTTTTTATAGAATTATCAGAGAAATCCATGTAGCTATCACAGGAGAAAAGAGAAATAGTCTGAGGTGGCCATTAGTAGACTCTGAAGCCAAATTGCCTTTGCCTCAGCTTTGCTCCTTATTCGCTGTGTGTTTCTGAGCTAGTTACTTAACCTCTATGCCTTAGTTCCTTACTGTAAAGGGAGTAATAGTAAATACTTCTTAAGGTTGTTGAGAAAATTAAATGAATTAGAATAGTGGCTGACACAGAGTGATAATTAAGCATCAAGCTGTAATAGGTGCTCCATTAAAAAATGGTAGTGATAAAAATGATTGTTGTAGTTAGTCTATTAGACATTTACATTCTAATGACTTACATTCTAATAGCGCCAACACACCTACACAGAGCAGAATAAATGCATACTCTACTAAAATATAAGTAGTGTGTCATCAGGGTGTGTAGAAAAGGAGGACTGATCTTGACAAGGAGTTTGAGAAAAGCATCATATGCATTCCCTTCTAGGAGTCTTTAGTTACGATGCCATTGCAATTAGTCATTAATTGCAATTACCATTGAGAGGGGTTATGCCACATAACCTTATCAACTAGCATATTAGTTGGCTTAGAGACCATATAACCAAGAACAGGGATTCCTAATTGCAGGTCATCATTTAACCTCTTGAAATTGTGCCCTGTTTTGTTGATTACATAATTCTGCATGCATTTCTGTGAAGGGGGCCATAATGTTCATTATTTTCTTAAAGGGATTAAGCATTTATAAATCACTAAGCCAAAGAACACAGCACTAGATTTTTAGTTCAGAGATCTGGATTCAAATCTCAGCTCCAACATGTATCATTCTGTGAAACCCATTTTCCTCATTATAATATAGAATAGTAGTGAAGAATCAGAGCGAGATACCTTTAAGGATTTATTTTGAGTTTAGAAGAGCTAATATATTTGACAGGAAACTTAGTTTACAGGGCTTTGTAAACTGAATTATGACAATGGTGATGACCACTACCACAACTACTACTGCTGTATTAGTCCATTCTCGTACTGCTGTGAAGAAATACCTGAGACTAGGTAATTTATAATGAAAAGAGGTTTAATTGACACACAGTTCTGTGGGCTTGGGAGGCCTCGGGAAACTTACAATCATGCTGGAAGGGGAAACAAACACATCCTTCTTCACATGGTGGCAGGTGAGAGAAGTGCTGAGCAAAAAAGGAAAAGCCCCTTATAAAACTGTCAGATCTCCCGAGAAGTCACTCACTATCACAAGAACAGCCTGAGGGCAACCACCCCCTTGATTCAATTACCTCCTTCCAGGTTCTCCCACAACACATGGGGATTATGGGAGCTACAATTCAAGATGAGATTTGGTTGGGGACACAGCCAAACCATATCAACTACAATTATTACTATTAATGATTATGAGAGGAGGAAGTTTTGGTGGTGGTTGTTCTGGGTTCAAGCAGCAGATGTCAGTCATTTATACCCTGCCTGCCTTCTTGTGGAAAGCATGGAAGAATAGCAAGGACAGGGACTGGGAATTAGAAGGCTTGGATTCTTGTACCAGTTCTGCCGTGAATGTCTCAATGACTCCTAGATTCCTCACCCATTAATTACAATAATACTACCCTTTAACTCTAACTCTTTTCCTCTAAACTTAATTAATTTTACATGCATTACTAGTATGAAAACAGGTTGCAGGAATGTCTATATGTGAACATTTTAGTGCTTAACACAGACTTAGTAAATAATTAGTTTTACAATGACATACTCAAAAACTCCAGAACTTTCTTCTATAGATGAACTTCATTTGAGTAGCTTCTGTTGCAAATCATAATAAAAAGAGGGAAGAATTTATGGATTAGCATGCAAACTCAGAGAAACAACAGTATAGGGTGGTTCAGAAACAGCAACTTACAGAATTCAGTCATGGAGTCAGAACTGAATTTAAATCCCACCTCTTTTTACATAACTTTATACTTCCAGCTACTTCCCTGTATTTCTCCATCTATTTAGAGTGAAGTTTCTCCAAAGCATTGCCTATACTCTTGGTCTCTACTTCCCTACTTTCTACTCCCTCCTTGCCCGCTCCAGTTTGAATTCTGTCACTGTCAGCCCCCTGAAACATTTCATATTAAGGTTATCAGTGACCTCTATTTTGCTAAGTCCATAGGATGTTTTTTATTTGTTTCTTGAGTTCTCAGCAGCATGGGACATCAGTGATAACTTTTTCCTCCTTTTAACATTATCTTTCCTTGGCTTTCTGGAATGTTGCCTTCTCTGTTTTCTTCCGGGATCTCCTATTCCTCCTTTCTAATCTGCTTTTCTTGAGTTTATAGTTCTTTTCTTGACCATTAACATTAATGTTTATCACAGATAGCTTCTCTCTTTGCCATCTCTTCC